TAGTCTCTGAAGCTCACGGGAGCAATCTACACTGTCCTTTAGGGCTGCTCTGAATCGGCGTCAACTCGATGGCAGTGGGGTTTTTGAGTCCTCCGTTACTGGCCACTTTTGTGTCAAACAGATATCGTCTTGCACCAGTTTGATTCCTCCTTACTTATTATTATACTTTTTATCAATAGCTTCCCTGAAATTACAAGAATATTTTAAATTATAACAATCCATCTAAACCAATTTGACGTCACCTAACCACAACAAAAACAACTGGAATGTAATGTACATATGTCTATACCTCATCAGTACATTAAATATTGTTCAGGTCACACAAAAAAGTGCTCCCATTGAGAATGAAGATGGCTACAAATGTACAAATGTGCTTGACACAGTGGATGTATGTATGGATTGTGATACGAGTTGTACAAGCCCCCGATAAAGTGATTTTTTTTAAAAGAAAAAAATTATAACAATCCAACTCAAAGAAAAACTAACTGGAGTACCTTACAAAAACTTAGCTCCTACATTACTTCATTTCCTCACCCACCCTCTGAGCTATGACTAGACAAATTACATCTTTATAGATGATATGTCCACCCACAATACCAATTTATAATAATAAGTTATTATTATTATTATTATACACCATTGTCTTTTACACCAGATAGGGGAAAGAAGACATTAAAAACAAGGCTTCCACCCTGGCAGCCATTGAAGAGTGGCAGTCATGGCTGTGTGCTGCCCTATGGCCGTGGGTCTCAACAAGGGCCACAAGGTGACCAAGAACGTGAGCAAGCCGAGGCCCAGCCGCCGCCGCGGGTGCCTCACCAAGCACACCACGGCCGGCCGTGCGCGGGGCATGAACCAGGTGTGTGGCTTAGAGCCCTATGAGCCAGGAGCCGTGGAGCTGCTCACGGTCTCCAAGGACAAAGGGCGTTTAAGTTCATCAAGAAGTGCGTGGGGACACGTCCATACCAAGAGGGAGAGAGAGGAGCGGAGCAACATGCTGGCCGCCATGAGGAAGGCGGCTGCCAAGGCGGACTGGGTGACACTACCACCCCCAATAAAGATATTAAAAAAGCCTTTACAGAAGATAAACAATACATTTATACTGTCTTTTATACTCACCTACGTCATTACCTTGAGCGGTATTTGTTTCTTTATGTAGATTCAAGTTACTGTCTAGTGTCCTTTCACTTCAGCCTGAGGACTTCATGTATTATTTCTTACAGTGTTGGTCTGGTATTGATAAATTCATTTAGTGTTGCCTTTTTGGGAACACCTTAATTTCTCCTTCAGTTTTTAAAATTTAAAAATAATTTTCATGGGTTTAGAATTCTTGACTATGGGGGAGGAGGGAGTGGGGAGGGAGGGGAAAAATGAGGAGCAAATACCAGGGGCTCAAGTAGAAAGCAAATGTCTTGAGAATGATGAGGGAAACAAATGTACAAAAGTGCTTGACACCATGGATGGATGTGTGGCTTGTGATAAGAGTTGTACAAGCCCCAATAAAATGATTTGATTATTAAAAAAAGAAAAGAAAGAATTCTTAGTTAACATCCCTTTTCATTGAGGACTCTGAGTATGTTGGTTCTCTGGCTTGGAGCTGCTTTGGCTTCTTAAGAGAAATCAGTCGGTCACCCTGCAGCTCCCTTGCACACGATGAGTACTTCCCTTGCTGCTTTCAAGATTTTCTTTTTGTTTCTTTCAACAATTTGATTATAATGTGTCTGAGGGTAAAGCTCTTTGAATTTATCTTACTTAGAGCATACTGGATTTCTTGGATGTTTCAATTTTCTTATCAACTGTGAGCTGGTTTCAGCCATTGTTTCTTCAGATATCCTATGTCTTATCCTTGCTCCTGCTGGGACTCACATTATATACGTCAGTGTACTTAGTGGTGCCTGATCTATCTCAAACATTGTTCATTTTCCTCCATTATTATTTTTGTCTGTTCCCCAGACTATATAATCTCAGTGTATTTATCGTCTACTTCATTGATTTTTCTGCAAACTCAAATCTGCATGGCTTCAGCCCCCTTCCCCCAATCCGACTCCCAGGATTTTTTTATTTCAGTTATTGTGCTCTTCAATTCCAAAATTTCTTTTGTAATTTCTAACTCTTTATTCATATTGTCTGTTTGGTAAGACATTTCCCTATTTTCCTATAGTTCTTCAGCTTTTCTTCCTTTTTCAGTTCTTTCAACATATTTCAATAGTTGGTTTAGAGGTTTGTCTAGCACAGTGGTTGTCAACCTTCCTAACGGCTCAACCCTTTCATACACTTCCTCATGTTGTGGTGACCCCCAACCATAAAATTATTTTCATTGCTACTTCATCACTGTAATTTTGGTACTGTTATGAATTAGGTGACCCCGGTAAAAGAGTCATTCGACCCCCAAAGGGGTCGAGACCCACAGGTTGAGAACCGCTGGTCTAGCAAGTCTTGCATCTAGGTTTCCTTAAGGAAAGTTTATTTTTATTTATTAGTTGGAATTTAATACATATATCATTTCAATTTCAATTACATCAAGTAGAATGTACAATTGATACATGGACTCCTTGACACTGTCTCCCTTTTACCCCACCATCTCCACTGTACCCCCTGCCCCTTATTCTACTTGCTGTCCCTATAGGTTCATCAATCCTGGGTTTCATGTAATGAAAACCAGAAAAGCACGAACACAGCTTCAAGAGGGTGACCTTTATTGACACAACACTTCTGAGATACATTCTAATATGAACAAAAAAAAAAACCAAACCAAACAATACAAACCAAAAACACAGAAAATTTTGGAAACCAGATCAGGTCCATCCTGCATCATAGGGGGGGATCTACTAACAAAGTTTTAACTGTTCAGATCAGATTAAGGCCTTTGATCTTCTATACTCCTCTCATGAGCACTCTGTTTAGTGACCACTTTCCTCCCATCCCTCATATTTTAGACAGGGGGTAGTTCTCTGGAGGCTTATTTCCTATGTAGATCCCACAAATGTCTCTTGGGCTCCCACTGTGATCCTTCATCTTCTGCACACTGGATTCTCACACTTTAGGCTCTGATACGGATCCCTCCTTTGATTTTAGATTATATGGATTCCAATACTTCAGTCACTGATGATGATGTGCTTCTTCCATGTGGACTCAGTTGACATTTCACTTGGATAGCTGCTTATTTTGAAATAAGCCTTTTTTTCTTAATACTTTTATTGGAGGCTCTTAAATCTCATCACAATCTATACATTTCTCCAGTGTGTCAAGTACATTTGCACATATGCTGCCATAATTTTCAAAGCATTCTCTTCCCACTTGAGCCCCTGATATCAGCTCCCCCATTTCCTCCCCCTCCCTCCCCTGCCCACCTTCCCTCACAAACCCTTGATAAGTTATAGATTGTTTTCATACTTTACATCGTCTTCTGTTGCCCTTCACCCACTTTTACGTTAATCGTCCCCTTGGAGGGAGGTTCTAGGTTGATCCTTGTAATCGATTTCCCTTTTCTCCTCCCAACCTCCCCTAATCCTCCTGGTATCTCTAATATCCTTGTTGGCCCTGAGAAGCTTGTCTATCCCGATTCCCCATGTTTCGGGCTCTTATCTGTAGCAGTGTGCAAGATCTGATCTAATCCAACTTCTAAGGTAAGAACTGAGGTCATGATAATGGGGTGAAGGAAGCACCAAAGAGTTAGAGGAAAGTTGTGTGTTTCATCGGTACTATATTGCACTCTGACGGGCTCATCTCTTCCCTGTGACCCCTCTGTGAAGGGATGTTCAATTGTCTACAGATGGGCATTGTGTCTCCAATCCAAGCCCCCCCCCCACCATTCACATTGGGTATGGTTTTATTCTGGGTCTTAGAAACCTGATACCTGATCCCATCGGCACCTCATGATCACGCAGGCTGGTGTGCTTCTTTCATGTGGGTTTTGTTGCTTCTGAGCTAGATGGCCATTTGTTTATCTTCAAGCCTGTAAGACCCCAGATACTATATCTTTTGATAGCTGGGCACCATTTGCTTTGTCTTTTGATAGCCAGGAACCATCTGCTTTCTTCACCACATTTGCTTATGCACCCACTTGGTCTTCAGTGATTGTGTGGTAAGGTGAGCATCACAGAATCCCAGATTGTTAGAACAGGAAATAAACCTTTAAGGCTGGGTATTTTTTATTGTAACTTTTTAATTTATGTATGAGCCATTCTTGTTTACAAGGAGAGGTTTTAAATATCATGAGGCAGCTCTAGAAATAAGAATTGCCTTCTCTCCTAGGATTTGTTATTGTTGCTCTGTTTGTTCACTTGGTGAATTTTCTGAGCTAATTATGTAAGGTATATTCTTTATCAAGTGTAGCCTCTAAAGTCTCTACTGTGTTAGTTTAGTGGTTAGCTGGTGATTGGACAGAGATGGTCTTAAATGCCTGAAGCTAATCAGTCTCCCAGCCTTTGCTGAAGAACCCCGTGAGTGCTGGCCTATGCCTTCATGCTTAGGAAGGCAGTTTACCACTCTGACTTAGACTTTACTTCTTGCTTGGACAGAGTTGCATGATCAAACAGCAAGGAGAGCTTCAGGCCTTTCCAGGTCTTCCTGAGCATTCACACACCCCTCTGTATCTTCTGACTTTTAGATGCCCCCAGAAGTATGTTAGAGGTTTTCAAAGCTTCCTATGGACATCTCATTTCCCAACTTTTCCTTTTTTGTTGTTGTTGTTAGTTTGTTGTTTAATTCCAAATGTTATTACTGCCTTGAGGAGCCCTGATGATGTAGTAGTTACATGTTGGGCTGCTAACTTCAGGACAGCAGTTCAAGTTCGAAACCACCAGCTGCACCTCTGAAGAAAGACAGGGCTTTCTACTCCCATAAAGAGGTATAATCTCAGAAACACAAAGGGGTAGTTCTACCCTGTCTTATAGGGTCGCTGTCAGTTTGGTTTTTTGGTTATCACTGTCTTAGACAGCTGTGATATTAAGCAACTGTCACTGATGGTTTTTTGTTTTTGTTTTTAACAAACACCACTAGGGTCATGGTTATTCACATAAGGGAGCTCTGAAGTAAATAACAAAAACCAGCTGTGAAGATGTAATTTTCCAAATAATTACCAGATAAGTCAAGTATTGGATAGTGGGCTTTCGAGGAACTCCACTCCCATTTCTGCCACCTTCTGAGGCTGTTGGTTTTCACTCTGGCTGCAGTGGTCTTCAGACTACTACGGGGCTTGGAGAGGAGGTCCAGGACAACCTTCGAGAGAGTGTGTGTGTGTCTGTGCACGCGTGTGCGCTCACACACACACACACCCAAAATATCCCCCCCCCCACCAAATCTTGTTCTGAAATTCCGCCATTAAAACAAAAAACAAAAAAACTCTCCAAATTGTTTCAAGCCCTTAGTTAATTTCCATGGTTCCGGAAAACTTTGCTTTTCAATGTTGCCAGCGTCTTCACTGATTTTATAGAGTGGAATACTTTCATACAGAAATCCTTCCTTTACCACTCAGCTGATGTCATCCTGCTACATCTTTATAAAATGGTTGGGATAACACAGTGTTTTCAGCATGTTTTAATCTTTTTTTCTATTTCCCATAGTGACCACCCTGTGGGTTTCTAAGACACTGTTTACAGGAGTAGAAAGCCCAGTCTTTCTCCAGGGAGCTGCTTATGGTTTCGAACTGCTGACCATGTGGGTCACAGCCCAGCGCATAACCACAACAGCACCAGGGGCTCCTTTTTCTATTTCACCTTCCTCTAAATGGGGATTATAATTTATCAGTGAGGGAAAGGGTGTATCAGATAGCAACTTGTGACCCAGCTGCCATAAAATATTAACTAACACCTGTTAAAGAAAAGCCTTTTTGCGAAGTACTACGTACTCATATATTTGGAAATGAATGTGAGCATAACTGTCTTTTGGTAATACACGTTGCATGTCTCACTTCTACATGACAGGGCCTCTGAGGCTACTCCCTATGACCTCAATGGCACAAATACCCTCTCTTGGGTCCAATGGTGAGAATGGCTGGCTCGTCTCCGCATCTGGGATAAATGGTTCTACTCGTAGTATAGAAGTTGAGGCAAGGACATGAAGAAGCTCCAGTTTCCCACGGTCCCAGTTGTCACCACGACAATATGATTAGTTAGGAATGTACAACAGGCCATCTGAATTGCATCATTTTTCTTTTTACACAGCAACACGCGTGACTTAGGGAGAGCCCTTTCCTCCACTTCAGAGATGAGGACGCACTCAGCAGGTTCACAGTGGGGCCAAGACACTAACAGGTCACTGATACTTTCAAAAGTTATTGTATGAACACGTAACAATGCGCACGAATTCAGCAAATTCCAGACTCTCCAAGCCACAACGATGTGGCTTGAGGATCAGCTAGGTCGATCAGTTGGGGAATCTGTTCCTCGTTCCTCTCCACTCATGTTACCTTCTGTAACCTTCCTCCCACGTCCCCAGCCATAAACCTGGGGGCAAAACCATCTAATTTACAAAAGCCCGAGCTTAAGCATCTAATTTAAATGATGCGCGTTGGGGCTACTTGCGACCTCGTGGAACTCTTGTCGCGAGGCAACCGAGAGCAGCAGCGGACACACTGGTCCCTCACGCCGGGCCGGGGTCCTGAAACAATCCCCGTGCCGGGATGGCGCCGTTCAGCTCACCCAGGCCTTCCTTAAACTGCCCCGAGCGCCGCCCAAATCGCGCACGCATCTCCGACGGGCGTCGAAGGCGCTTCCGGACGTGGAAGTTAGCGGAGCGCCTCCCGCAACCGACTCGGGCCGGCCAGATAGTAGCAAAACTCCGCGGTCTCTTAGCAACGCCGCCGGAAGTGACGCCCACTGTCGCCGAGGAACGCGGACCGCGGAATGCCGAACGCGCGAGGTCTGGGGGCGGGGCGGGCCCGGAGGCTGCGCCTGCGCAGATGCCGAAGCCCGTTCGGCAGGTGGAGCCGCCGTCTGGGGTCGCTGCCCTGCCCGGGACGAGTCCGAGAGACCGGACCCTGGAGAGCAGGGCGGAAACTGGACGGCGGCCTGCGCCAGGCCCGGGTCCCTGAGGAGTCCCAGGATCCAGCCGGCCCGCTGCCCCCTTCTTCCTGGCACGGCCCCTCAAGTGGGGGACCCCATGCCAGGGCCTGGCGCCCCGCTTCCAGGCAGACCAGGTCGGCGTGCGACCGCGGAGGACTCGGCTCCGTGTTTTCGGATGTAAAGGACAGCGCCCTCTTTTAAGTGCAGAAACTCAAGTGACTGGCATGACGTCTATTGATAAATTCCTTGGTTCCTTGGGGCGAGGTGAGACTACTTTTTTTTTTTTTTTTAAGGATTATCTTTGATGTTCTAGCATAACATTCATGTTAGGACGTTACAGATATTTTAAATCGCTCGTGATGTCGATTGAACCAGTCAACTCTTAGAGGATACAAAAGTCTGGCAAGAATGAAACCCTAAGATCCGTTCTGTCAGTGGATGTGTAAATTACTTCCAATAAAAGCGAGTTGGATTCAACTCGCACCAAATTGGGTGGCTCCAACTGAAAGGAAATGATATATTTTTTAATAACTAAAAGTCTAACCGTTTTTCTTCAGGTTTTCAAGCAGATGTCCTGCTGTAATGATGGAAGGATTGATAAATATTTCTAGACCGAATTTTGGTACATGTGTAACTGTATGCTTTTTTGGGAACCATACTTTTAAAAGCTTCAAGAAACAAGAGGGGTCAGAAACTTGCCCTTTCTTGTAAGCTAACAAGTTAGCCTGTCAGAATTTCATCACCAGAGTACTAGCAACTTTTTTTTTTTAATCATTTTATTAGGGGCTCATGCAACTCGTATCACAATCCATACAT